TCTCTTTTATATCCTGCTAACTAAAAATGGGCTACCCTACACCAATCTGTAAAAAATAGGAGAATGGAATTACCATGAACGGCTTAGACCAATCAGGATTTACCCATGAGCTAGAGCCACTTTCTCTGAGGGTAGAATCCAAACAAAATCAGTTCCATTAGCTGGGCATGGTGGCTCACCCTACATAAGAAGAATTCCAGGTCTAGGTGGGTCATGCCTATAATTCTAGCACTCTGGGAGGCTGAAGTAGGTGGATTGCCAGAGCTCAGGAGTTCGAGACCAGACAAACCTGAGCAAGAGCAAAACCCTGTTTCTAAAAAAAACAAAAAAAAAACAATAGCCAGGCATTATGGTGGGCACCTGTAGTCCCAGCTACTTGGGAAGCTGAAGCAAGAGGATGGCTTGAGCCCAAGAGTTTGAGGTTGTTCTGAGCTATGACATCAGGGCACTCTACTGGGGGCAAGAAAGTGAGACTCTGTCTCAAAAAATGAAGGAAGGAAGGAAGGGGGGGGGGGAGAAAGGAAAGAAAAGAAAAGAAAGAAAAAGAGAGATTAGTCAGGCATTGAGGTGGGCTCTTGTAGTCCCACTTGAGGCAAGCAATTTGAGACCAGCCTGAGAAACATGACAAGACTTTGACTGTACAAAAAAATAGAAAACAATTAGCCAGGAATGATGGTGCACACCTGAAGTCCCACCTACTTGGGAGGCTGGAATAGTAGGATTGCTTTAGCTCAGGAGCTTGAGGTTGAGATAATGCCCCAGTACATTAGCCTGAGCAACAAAGCAAGACTCTGTCTAAGAAAACAAAACAAACAACAACAGCAAAAACAAAAAACTCACCTAAAAATCACTGGAGGAAGAAGAATGGAAAAAGAAAATAAAGTTAGACTCCTGTATCTCACCCTACGTAAGAATTCCAGGTCCAGAGTGATGGTTCACGCCTGTAATCTTAGCACTCTGGGAAGCCAAGGCGTGTGGATAGCCTGAGTTCAGGCCAGCCTGAGCAAGAGTAACATCCTGTCTCTACTAAAAATAGAAAATCTAGCCAGGCGTTGTGTTGACCCCTTGTAGTCCCAGCTAGTAGGGAGGCTGAGGCAAAAAAACAGCTTGAGCCCAAGAGTTAAAGGTTGCTGTGAGCTAGGACACCAGGACACTCTACTGAGAGTGACTGAGTGAGACTCTGTCTCAATTAATCAACCAGTAAGTACCGCTGAAAGGAGAATATGTTAATTTAACCATTTGGAAGTCTATACTTATTTGTAAAGTTGTACATTCATACAACTTATGATCAGCTATTCCCCTTATAGATATACCAAAATATACACAAGAATGTTTATAATTTGTATTTACCCCCCCCAAAAGATTGGAAATAACTCAAATGTCTGCTGAAGAAAAATGAATACATAAATTGTAGTATAGTCACATGATGAAATATTATGCAATAGTGCAAATAAGAGAATGATGGATATGTATAACACCATGGATAAATTTTGTCTTATTTGCACTGGACAACTCCTTTTGTCCAAAAGGCAAGAGGTAGGAAGTTACATTATAATAACATTTGTAGAAAGCTCAACAAAAATTAAAACTAAGCAATATTGATATATTTTTTTTTTTTTTTTGAGACGGAGCCTCAAGCTATCCCCCTGGGTAGAGTGCCATGGCATCACACTAACAGCAACCTCCAACTCCTGGGCTCAAGCGAGTCTCCTGCCTCAGCCTCCCAAGTAGCTGGGACCACAGGCGCCTGCCACAACACCTGGCCATTTTTTGGTTGCAGCCATCGTTGTTTGGCGGGCGGGCTGGGGATTCGAACCCGCCACCTTAGGTGTATGTGGCTGGCGCCTTAGCCGCTTGAGCCACAGGCGCCAAGCCAGCAATATTGATATTTAGGAATTATAATTTTACTAAATTATAAAGTAAAAGAATATTAATCAAAATTTCAGGCTCGGCACATGTGACTCAAACAGCTAAGGCGCTAGCCACATACACCTGAGCTGGAGGGTTCAAATCTAGCCTGGGCCTGCCAAACACCAATGACAGCTGCAACCAAAAAATAGACGGGTGTTGTGGTGGGTGCCCGTAGTCCCAGCTACTTGGGAGGCTGAGACAAGAGAATCGCTTGAGCCCAGGAGTTGGAGGGTGCTCCGAGCTGTGATGCCACAGCACTCTACCCAGGGTAACAGGCTCTGTCTCAAAATAAAAACAAACAAACAAAAATTTTATTTAGTACTTATCCTTGGGTGTGGGAGTAGATAAGGAAATGGCATAGAGGAAGAGCACACACATTGATATAATAATATCAGTAACATTTTAGTTTTTAAAAATAATGTACATATACCATATATTTTTTAAATTATAAAATATGCATAACATTTACCCTCGTAACCCATTTTAACTTGACAATTCAATGGCATAAAGCACATCACACTGTTGTGCAATATGAATGCACAGCTATCTATCTCTAGAATTCTTATCATACAAAACTAAAACTCTATAACCATTAAACAGTAACTCTCCCCCTTCGCTAAGCCCCTGGAAACCACCATCATACTTACTATCTCTATGAATTTGAATATTTTAGTTTGAGAGATTGGTTGATGAGTGTTCATTTTGCTTCATGCTTCATAACTTGCATATACACATGGATACATATACATACATATAATTTTTTTGTATGTATAAAATAGTATATGCCTTCTTTTTCTTTCTTAAACAATTCAGTCTCTATCGAAACTACCAAAAATTGACAATGCCAACTATATTCCAAGTCATCATGGCGGGGTACTGGGAAAAGTTTTCAATTAGCAAAAATTGTGCCTCAGATAAACCTCATTGGCTGTGAATATACTGCCACTGTGCAAAGCTACATACCTTATTTTTTAAAGGCTTGATTTATGGAAAAATAAAGAATGACAATACCCCAAATTGGCCATAACATGGCAAGCATTTAATTGATACAATTTTAAAGGCATTTTATAATTGATGCAGCACAAAATCGACAAATATTTTATGGATTTTTAGAGCAATTTTGTTTTCATTTCAGTTTCTGATCGTTCACTGTTAGTATACAGATATGTGATTAATTTTTGTATCTTTGCTAAAGTCATTTATTAGTTCTAGGAGGTATTGCTATTGTTGACTTTGAGATTTTCTATGTAGACAATCATGTCTTTTGTGAACAGGGACAGTATTTTTTTCTTTCCATTCTGTATTTTGTTTTACTTTTGAGACAAAGTCTAACTCTGTTGCCCAGAGTGTTATAACTTGAAGCAACCTCAAACTACTGGGCTCAAGCCATCCTCTTGCCTCAGCTTTCCCAGTAGCTAGGATTACAGGTGCTGCCACAATGCCTGGCTATTTTTAGAGAGTGGGTCTCACCCTTGCTCAGGCTGGTCTCCTACTCTGGAGCTCAAGCAATGCACTTACCTCAGCCTCCTAGAGTGCTAGGATTACAAATGTGAGCCGTCACATCCAGCCTTGTGTGCTTCTATTTCTTTTTCTTGCCTTATTGACAGGGCCAGGGCTTTCTGTATGATGTTAAATAGGAGTGGGAAGAGTAGACATCCTTGGCCAGGTGCAGTGAGCAAGAGTGAGACCCTATCTTTACTAAAAATAAAAAATTAGCTGGACATTGTAGAGGGCCTATAGTCTCAGCTACTTGAGAGGCTGAGGCAGGACTATCACTTGAGCCCAGAGTTTGAGGTTGCTGTGAGCTAGGCTGATGCCATGGCACTCTAGCATGGGAAACAGAGTGAAACTGTATCTCAAGAAAAAAAAAAAAAAAAAAGGAAGGAAGGCTAGGCTTGGTGGCTCACACTTATAATCCTAGCCTTTAGCATTCTAGGAGGCAGAGGCGCGCGGATTGCTTGAGCTCAGAGTTCAGAGACCAACCTGAGCAAGAAGGAGATCCCAGTTCCGCGACTGTGGCTCAAGCTGCTAAGGCGCCAGCCACATACACCTGAGCTGGCGGGTTCGAATCCAGCTTGGCCCTCCAAACAATGACGGCGGCAGCCAGAAAAAAAAAAAAAAAAAAAAAAAAAAAAGCCAGGCATTGTGGAAGCTACTTGGGAGACTGAGGCAAGAGAATCGCTTAAGCCCAGGAGTTGGAGGTTGCTGTGAGCAGTGATGCTACAGCACTCTACCCAGGGCGACAGCTTGAGGCTCTGTCTCAAAAAAACAAAACAAAAACAAAAACGAATGAGAGCGTCATCTCTACTAAAAAGAGGATAACACTACCAAGAGGATAGCTTGAGCCCAATTTAAGGTTTCTGTGACTTATGACCCCATGAAACTTTAGCCTGGGGCAACAAAGAGATTTCGTCTCAAAAAAGAAGAGTAGACATCCTTGCTTTGTTCCTAATCTTAGGGAGAGGGAGAAAGCATTCTCCATGTGTTGGCCACCTCTTTGTAAAATTTTGTAATTAATATTTTGTAAATAAAGGTACATTTAGCTACGATTTCCCATTTCCCCTATGTATGGCTACTTAAGGGGCAACTTTTGGGACACCATGTATTAGATATGCTAGACCTTGGGAAGACAAGCCCAAAAAAGATACGGTCCCTGTTCTCAGGGAATTGAACGTATCGGAGAGACACAGGTGCAAACAGTTCCACGCAATGTGACAGCACTATAACGCTGCGTCTGCCCACGGGGCCCAGGAGCGTCTGTGTGGGGACACCGGACGAGCACCCAGTTGCAGGGCCAGGAGGAGGGCCGCAACTTCTCCAGTTAACCTCGGGTCGTGGCGGGGAGACACAGAGACTTGGTGTTCCCATAGTAACAGGACTAGGCACCCTCTACAGGCCTGTCGGTCACTTGGGATCAGCTTTGTTGTAGCCAAGAAAGGCCGCGCCTGGTCCTCCAGTCCAGAAGGCGCGCAGACGCCCGGCTGTAATTGAATAACCCGAGCCCCTCTCTGATTGGCTCTAGCAGATAGAGAGGTTGGGTCGTGTCGGCTAGGGGCGTGGCCTGCAGCCTCAAACTTCTGTGAGTTCTTTCAGAGCGGAAGCCGACCTCGCTCGCCCCGGAAGTGCAAAGTCTACTCCTCGGCAGGTGTAAGTTCCGCCGGTGAAGGCGGCTGCCTTCAAGATGCCGGGAGCCGCAGCAAAGGGGTCAGAGTTGTCCGAGAGGATCGAGAGTTTCGTGGAGACCCTGAAGCGGGGCGGCGGGCAGCGAAGCTCTGAGGACATGGCTCGGGAGACTTTGGGGCTGCTGCGCCGAATCATCACGGACCACCGCTGGAGCAACGCGGGTGAGGCAGGCCTAGTTTCACCCGCGACCCCAGCCCCTTTCCATGCCCTGCCCCAAGGCCGAACGCTCCCGGGCGTCACGCGTCACGCGTGCTGGCCCCGCTCACTCTATGTCTTTTGGACTGCAGGGGAGCTAATGGAGCTGATCCGTAGAGAGGGCAGGAGGATGACGGCCGCGCAGCCTTCCGAGACCACCGTAGGCAACATGGTGCGGAGAGTTCTTAAGATCATCCGGGAGGAGTATGGCAGGTCAGGCTCATGCACTGGGCTCCAAGTTGGATTTAGCAGCGCTTTTGCATGAGCGCTTATCCATGCTTGAGACTTTATTGTAGCTGAACAGCTCCTGTTATCTGTCTGACCACTCCTCCCCACCTCCCTCTTTGATCTTTTTGCCTTCCTAGACTCCACGGCCGCAATGACGAGAGTGATCAGCAGGAGTCCCTGCATAAGCTCTTGACATCTGGAGGCCTGAATGAGGATTTCAGTTTCCATTATGCCCAACTTCAGTCCAATATCATTGAAGCGATTAATGAGCTGCTAGTGGAGCTGGGTAAGAGCCCTGATCACTGGGTGGACAGGACAGGCTGCAGGCAAATAAGGGAACTAGAGCTCCTGGAAGTTGTTCATCAGCAGAGATGGTGCTCAGAGGTTTGCCCTCCTTCCTGATTAGGAGATGTTGGAGTAGGTGGCAGGACTAAAGTTTTTACCCCCAAACTTTTACTTACAGACCAACCCTTTAGAGACTCTAGATGCACCGTGGCAGTGATTCTTATTAAGACAGAGTTTTATTTTCATTTTGAAGGAAACGAAGTCCCTAAAACTACAGTTGATATAGCCTCCACTGAACTTCCTCTTGAATGTTTACACACACTTCTATACCAGCTCCGTGCCCCTGGTCTTTGTGACTCAAGAGATCAGCATATATTCATTATGATCAGAGGGTGAAGAAGCTGCTTCCAAATTCCTCCCCTGTTTTTCCCCTCTGGCCTCCCTCTCTCAGGTGAGATGTTGTGGCCACTTTTTGGAGGAAGAGTTCTTTTAAGGGGAAGCTCTACTTATCCCATTCAGCACTTTAGGATTGCCCAGATTGCCATTTCTTGCCTGAATTTGTTATCTTCTTTTTTTTTTTTTGAGACGAAGTTTCACTTTGTTGCCCTAAGTAGAGTGCTGTGGCATCATAGCTTACAGCAACCTCAAATTCTTGGGCTTAAGTGATTCTGTTGCCTCAGGCTTCCAAGTAGCTGGGACTATAGGCATCTGCTACAACACCCAGCTATTTTTAGAGATGAGGTCTCCAGCCTGTGAGCTCAGGCAATCTACCCACCTCAGCCTCCCAGAGTGAATTTGTTGTCTTCAAAATCAGTTGTTAGGAGCTATGTAGTGGCAGAAGGGGGTTGATGAGTAGGGGTGCTTCCAAGAAACAGGCAGAGAACTTGGGAGGTAGAAAATCCCAGAGAAGTGGGGCTTTTAAGAAGTTATGACATTTCATTTAAAATACAGCAAGCCTGCAATACCCAGGGTTTGCTAGATAGGAGTGTATATGAAGGGCAGATGTCCTTTTCCATACTTTGGTCACGTCTGTTTGTGTTGTAGCATGGCAGTTTCACATTTTCCTTGCAAAACTGTTCTTGTAGAAGGGACAACTGAGAACATTGCAGCCCAGGCCCTGGAACACATCCACTCCAATGAGGTGATCATGACCATTGGCTTCTCCCGAACAGTAGAGGCCTTCCTCAAAGAAGCTGCCCGAAAGAGGAAATTCCATGTCATTGTGGCAGAGTGTGCTCCTTTCTGCCAGGTAAAGGGAGTGCTAGAATTGCTAAGATAAATGAAAAATAAATAGGGAATAAATGAGGGATGGGTGAGGCCATACCAACTTTGAATTGGTAAGCAAGACACTGAGACACTGAGAAGCTAAAGTAAAACATTAAAGGACTTTTCAGCTTGTCATCCTGTGAACATTCTTAAGCATTGGTTTAAGAAAGTTGGGTGAACTGCTGAGGCCAAAGAAAATTAAGTCTTTATATTCTTTTAAAAATCAGAATGTCCCTAAAGATGACTGAATGTTTGATCTGATCTCACTCAATCCTTAGGGTCTCAAAAAGGAAATAATGGGTCTTGTAAAGGAAATATGGAAGACTGCTGGATGTTGTAAAATACTGAGCCAAGAGTTATCTTTTCAGCTAGCTTGACTATGCAAGCAAGCTGTATTTCCAGTTTTGTGGCTGCTCTAGAACTACTGTGGAGTATTATACATTTATTAGCTTCCCTTAGGCTTCTCTGAAGCTTATCAGAGCTACCATAGGAGAAAAATGAGTTATCTGTTGGAAGTTGCATACTGGATATGCCCACATCACAGAATTCCCCAAATCCAATTACATTTGAGAGCTCTTTTCACTGTCTCTCACTCTTTCTACTAGCATCTTTCTGTCCTATTGCAGGGTCATGAAATGGCTGTGAATTTGGCCAAAGCAGGTATTGAGACGACTGTCATGACTGATGCTGCCATTTTTGCTGTTATGTCAAGAGTCAACAAGGTGGGTGTGTTTGGAGTTATTGTGTTGAATTCATGAGGATTATACTTCTAAAATATTGTATCTCCTCCTATAATAGTCATGGTAAAGGAATTCCAGCACCTTTTGGGAATCCATATTTAGGCCTTTTTAATCTATTAACTTAGTTCTTTTCACTGTTCCTCACATGGAGTAGCCCTTACATGTGATTAAAGCATTGAAAAGGATCATGTAAAGAAAAAAGAATCAAGTAGAGCTAAGCCAGGAGTGTCATCAGCTAGGGGTTGGCTACACAGCTCCCTCCTCATGCTCCAAGAACTTGGCACTGGTGGATGGTGAATGAAAAAGCTCCTGGCTTCTCAGATGGTGTGATGTATCGATTTCCAGAAAATAGGGGGCAAACAGCAGTAGGTTTTGCAGTTTCTTGTCCCATTTTGCATTAATTCTTTGCTGGGTAATGCACTTTTAAGCTAGAACTTGTCAAGTGAGCCTAGAATCTTTTTCCTTCTACTGCTGTGTGGCACCTCCGGATGTTAGGTCTAAGGCTTGAGCATTCAGCCTCTTGTGGCTGTTGGCCCTTTCAAGGCTCTCCCCCCAGGGTGGCTGACAGTTTTCTTCCTATTCCAAAGGTGATCATTGGCACAAAGACCATCCTGGCTAATGGTGCCCTGAGAGCGGTGACAGGAACTCACACTCTGGCACTGGCAGCAAAGCACCATTCCACCCCACTCATCGTCTGCGCACCTATGTTCAAACTCTCTCCACAGGTATGTCTGTCTGTCTCTGGCAGGTGGCCAACAGAGAGAAGGAAGCCACAGTGTAGATTTGAACTCTGGGCCTCAACCTACTCAATCTAGGGCCTCTTGTCTGCATTTACTCAATGGCTTAGATTCAGTGGAGGTTGGAGAGAGCCACACAAGTCTTGGTCCAGGAAAAACAATCAATAGTTATAATCTGCCAGCTTTAGGAAGTCAAAATTATGTCAGGACAATACATAGTTGGGAAAAGCCCTTTGCTTACTTTTGCTACCACTCCTGTTACCCTGACCGGTTTTGAAAATGGCAAGCAGGTTGAAACTAGGATCATAGAATTAGTTCTGTTGGTCATTGTTCCAGGGCCTGTCCTCTGTAGCCTGAATACAGTTACTAAGTGAAGAGCCATTTCATCAGTGACAGAAGGTATTTGCTTTGAAAAAATCAGCCTATTTATATGTCTCTTTTTTAAAAATTGAGATGAAATTCACATAACACACAATTAACCACTTTAAAATGTACAGTTCAGTGGTATTTAGTCCATTGACAGCATTGTGCAACCACCACCCTCTAGTTTGAAAACCTTTTCATCATCCCTGGAAAACACCCTATACCCACTGGGCAATCACTCTTCATTCCCGCTTTTCCCCATCTCCTAGGAACCACTAATGTGCTTCCTGGCTCTGTGGATTTTCCTGTTTTGGATATTTTGTATAAAAAGAATCATACGATAAGAAGTCTCAGACATTTTGTGTCTGACACCTTCACTTAGCATGATGTTTTTGAGGTTTATCCATGTTGTAACATGGGTCAGAGTGTCTTTTTTTGTTGTTGTTGAGACAGAATCTCACTATGTCGCCCTTGGTAGAGTGCTATGGTGTCACAGCTCACAGCAACCTCAAACCCTTACGCTCAAGCAAATCTCTTGCCTCAGCCTCCCAAGCAGCTGGGACCACAAGTGCCCGCCACAGCACCCAACCACCTTTTGTTGTAGTTGTCATTGTTGTTTTTAGCTGGCTTGGGCCGGGTTCGAACCTGCCACCCCTGGTGTATGTGGCTGGCTCCGTAACCATTGTGCTACAGGCACCGAGCCAGAGTGTCTTTTCTTTTTAAGGCTGAATGATATTCCATTATATGAATATATCCCTATTTATCCATTCATCTGTTGATGGGCATTTGTGTTGATTCTGCCTTTTGGTTTTTATGAGTAATGCTGCTGTAAGCATTTGTGTGTAAGTTTTCTGTGTGGACATATGTTTTCATTTTCCTTGGGTATGTTATCTAGGCATGGAATTGCTGGGTCTCTGTTTTTTAAAAACTTTTTCTAATATGTTTATTAAAAAAACAAAAACTTTTTTCCAGTTCCCCAATGAAGAAGATTCATTTCATAAGTTTGTGGCTCCTGAAGAAGTCCTGCCTTTCACAGAAGGTACAGAAGCTGCCGTGTGTGTGTATGTGGGGTTTTGTGCATTCACATGTTTTGGTCTTTGTGTTGTTTTGGTGGTCAGGAGAATCGATTGAATACTGTTCAGGGTATGTTTTTTTAATCATACTTTTGCGGGGACTGTGTTCTTTAGCAGCTCAAAGTGCTTGGGGGACCTATCAGGTCCATGATAATTTGTTCTGAGACTAATAGATTTTAGCCAAGTTACTGGGGCTATGGAGGGTTGGATCACCCAGCATTAACTAGATTTTCTTTGTGTACTATTTGAGATACAGGAAATAACCAAGTGGGAAAATGTACCTGTTTCAGTTGTTGTAGGGAGTCATTTTGGTGAACTGACTGCCAAAGGAAGCAGGCTTTGAAATGTAGATTGTCTTGGGTGTTGGGGGTCCTTTTCTCTGGCTTCTAAAGACAGCAGCTCAGCTCCATAAGCCTGCCGCCTCATCGGCAATCAAACTGGCCTTATACCTGCTGAGAGGAAATCCCAGTGCTTGGGATCCTAATTCTTGGAAATTGAATGACCTTATTTCTTTGTTTAGACAATTCCTTGTTCAAGAAGTAGTTATTAAGCCCCAACTATGTATCCAGGCAGCATTATCCTAGGCACTAGGGATATAACAATGAATAAGAGAGGTAACGCCCTGTTCCTATAGAGCTTACAGCATGTGGAAGACAGATGAGTAAATGTCAGATCGTGGGATATTTGGGGAAGAAATCTAGTAAGGGTGATGTGATAGAAAGTAGGTAGAGAGTAATTAAGGTTGAGGGTCTTAATGAGATTACATTTCAGCTGAGTCTTGAATGAGTGGAGCCTAGCACATGAAGAGCAAAGAAAGCTTTCCAGGTGCTGGTGCGAGGGCCTGAAATGGGTACATGCCTAACCCATTGGAAAAAGATGGCCATGTGGCCAGAAAGTAGGGAGTGGTGCGAATTGTAATCAATGTGGTATGGCAGGGAGTGGCCAGATCTTGAAGCTTGTAGTCCCAAGTTTGAATTTTATTTTAAGGGCTATGCAAAGGTATTGGAGAGTTTTAAGCAGGGAATTTTGTGATCTGAAGGTAAGCTTCCTTTCTGTGGCTAGCTAGTATTCCTGTATTATCAAGCCTAGAATCTATATGCTACTTAACTATCAGAGTAGGAGCCTCTGTTTTTTTCTTTAGCACATGTGCTTGCCTTTCAGGGGACATTCTGGGAAAGGTCAGCGTTCATTGCCCTGTGTTTGACTACGTCCCCCCAGAGCTCATTACCCTCTTTATCTCCAACATTGGTGGGAATGCACCGTCCTACGTCTATCGCCTGATGAGTGAACTCTACCACCCTGATGATCATGTCCTATGACCACCACCTGTCCTAAGCAGAGTCACTTGGGCAGACCCAGAATGGAGAGATTTCAGTGCTGCTGCTGAAACACGTCCTCCTTGCAGTGGGGAAGTGAACAGAACTCAACCTGGAAAAAGCCTTGCTACTGTCGCCTGCCTTTTTAGTCATCCCACAACAAGGCACACATCCAGGACTGATTCTTGCCTTTTAGGCCTTAACAGAGTAGCAGGGCTTCACTTACTGATTTTGGAGTCTCTTAGTGACTGCAGCTGCGTCTGTTTCAGGAACTTAAACTTTATGGTTCAGTGGTGTGTTAAACTTAACACGGAATACCTTGCTGGGATACAGATTTTTGCTCAGAAATGCCTACCACACCTCTTCCTAGGCTGTGCCAATAAAAGCTACTTGAAGGTTCCTGAGTTGGTTTATTTATTGTCCTGCTCTGATTGAACTGCTTGAAACAGGAGCAACAGAGAGAGTCCTTTTCGTGTTTTCATAGAGGGCGGTAATTAGAAAAGTCTAAAACATAGAAGAGTGGTTACCGAATGGAAGTATTTATAGTTTCCTTTATAATTCACTGGAAATGGCCCTGAACAACTTGTTAGTCTGAGAGAATGGTTCCAAAATCTCTGCAAATGTCAGAATCAACTGGGAGCTTCACCTCAGATCTACTGCATCTGATCTCTGGGGTAGCACCTGGGATGTGTGGACTGCTGCTCAGAAAAGGATCTTCTCATGCACTGTTTATAGGACTATTAATTGGTCTGACCTTAGAAGGTAGAACATTTACACTGTGGAACATTATGTAGACAAGGCAACAGAAGTTTCAAAAGGGTGGTTTGAGGGTAGTACCTGGATTAAAGACATTTTTAGCTGATTCACCTTGTATTTAATATGAATTAGTTCCTGTTATTTAAAAATCTGTACATTATAGCTAGGCGTGGTAGTCACACCTGTAATCTCAGCATTTTGGGAGGCACATACAGTGAGACCCTGTCTATACCTATTTTCTTTGTTTAGTCTTTTTTTTTTCTTTTGAGACAGAGTCTCACTCTATTGCTCCAGGATAGAGTGCTATGGCATCATAGTTCACAGCAACCTCTTGGGCTTAAGAGATCTTGCCTCAGCCTCCCAAGTAGCTGGGACTACAGGTGTGCACCACCACACCCAGCTAGTTTTTCTACTCTTAATAGAGAAGGGATCTTGCTCTTGCCCTAGCTGGTCTAGAACTTGTGAGCTCAGGCAATCCACCTGCGTTGGCCTCCCAGAGTGCTAGGATTACTGTCATGGGTGAGCCACAGCACTGGGGCTGAGACCTAGTCTCTTTAAGAAAGAAAAAAAAATCTGTACATTATAAAATATCAGGTTAGTTGCTTTTCTTAAAAACTCAGATTTGGCACATCTCAGTCCACATTGTCAAGTTCGTAGCATCTGATTCTATTAGGTGGAAAATAGCCAATTTACTGTGGTTCCTACCAGATCCATTTTACATGTTTATATTATCTGCATAACCCCTGTAGGTATTTGAATCATGACTCTTGTGTTAAAAGAATGGGGCAGATTTGGGCCGGGCACAGTGGCTCATGCCTGTAATCCTAGCCCTGTGGGACACTGAGGCAGGTGGATTGCCTGAGCTTACTAGTTTAAAACCAGCCTGAGCCAGAGCGAGACTTCATCTCTAAAAAAATGGCCAGGTGTTATGGTGGGCTTCTGTAGTCCCAGCTACTTGGGAGGCTGGGACAAAGAAAATCACTTGAGCCCAAGAGTTTAAAGTTGCTGTGAGCTGTGATGCTATGGCACTCTACTGGGGGCAACAAAGTGAGACTTTCTCCAAAAAAAAAAGAATGGGGTAGATTTGCAAGGAGGTAAATTTTTATATTCTGTTGGCTAAAAATAAACTGGGAAAAAGCTGTAGAGCAATATGCATATGATCCTATTTCATTAAATGTACACGGGAAAGCTTAAGAGTATATAACATTAAACAGTGGCAAGAAGGGGGACATCTAGATTCTATTCCTAATGAGTTAGTAATTTGCAGTTTTTACCTAAAATGTGGGCCTGATGGTCTAGATGATTTGCCATGTTCTGAAACTAGTGATCCAAAGCAGAGGAACCCAGGGTGCCTGTCGCAGGGCTGGCCTCCTCCCCCTGCAGCAGCATCTGTGGGTAAGAGGACTAGGAGTCTGCACTTGTAACCAGCACCTGCAGGGTTTAACAGGTGTGTGTTTTTTTAATTTTTAAAAAATGTTCTTTCTTTTTTTTTTGAGACAGAGTCTCACTTTGTCACCCTTGGTAAGAGTGCTATGGCATCACAGCTCACAGCAACCTCAAACTCTTGGGCTTAAGTGATTCTCATGCCTCAGCCTCCCAAGTAGCTGGGACTACAGGTGCCTGCCACAATGCCCACCTATTTTTTTGTTGCAGTTGTTTGGCAGGCTGAGGCCAGGTTCCTGTCAGCCCCGGTGTATGTGGCCAGCGCCCTAACCATTGAGCTATGGGCACTGAGCCTTAACAGGTGATTTGGAACCACTCTTCAGTAAACACTGGTCAGAGGTAGATTTTAAGAGAAAGGCCTCTACTCTTTGCTACGTATTTAGATAGATTTTTTTTGCCTTAGGCCTCTTGTTTTCCTGATGGAGAAAACAAGACTGAAGAGAGTCAGAAGACTGACCTAAAAGCTGCGTGACTCAGAAGAGCCTGACTCACTCAGGCCTCAGTCTGCCGCTTATTTCTTAAAGCATCTAAGACCCCATGCTTTCTCAGTGAAGTGTCTCATAGCTACCAATTACAAGCAATTGTCTCCTGCGAAGGCACCAATTCTAGCAACAACTCACTTGGGTACAATTGTGTGGTTTGGAGTAAAGGCGGCAGTGAAGCAAGGAACTTAGATCTGTTCTTGGCTCCAAAAAGGCTTTATGATACTTGTCCTTTGTGCATCTTAGTCTCTGTGTCTAAAATTAGTAGCAGAACCCTTCCCAGGCATAACTGCAATAGCTGAAGGGTGGAAGGGTAGAAGCTCTGTCTCTGGCCAGCTTTACCTCACCTAGAGCAGAAGAACTACAGAAATACATAGTCTTCAGAATCTTTTTTTTTGCATTTTTGGCTAGGGCGGGCTTGAACCTGCCACCCCTGATATATGGGGCCAGTGCCCTACTCCTTGAGCTACAAGCGCCGCCCTATTCTTCAGAATCTTTACTACCCCAATTAAGAAAAACCCGAAAAAACTCATCTTCCCAATTCCCTCTCGCTCTGTTCCTATTTAAAGAGGGGTAAATGTTGGGAAGAGAACTTGAACTAAACAGAGCGAGACTGAGGAGTTCCCTGCTGACTCACTCACTACCTGTCAGCCTGTTTGAGAAAACGTCTTGCAGCTTGGAGACGAACTAGGATTCCATGGATGTGAAAGTCTTCCTGAATATGCTAAATAGACCAAGTTAGATAACATAATGCAGTTTGTAAGACACTTTTCCCACGGTTTCTATCTTCCAATTTGGGCAAAGGGCAGGAAAGGCATAGTTCTTGGAACTCAAAGCAGGAACAGAAATGCCTAATTTAGCCTCAGAAGAGAAGTCTTTGAAAAATGCTGTACCAAGAAAAACTGAAGTGTAAAATGATACCTCAAAGAAATCAGTGCGGTACCCAAAGGATCCTAAGTTCCACAGATGTGCTTCAAAACCATTTCACAAAGGGTAACAAAGGCTGCTAGTGTACTACTTCCACCGTGGAGCTATGTGACGCTAATGTATGTAGAACTCAGTACATCAGAACCCCTGTGCTGTAAAGATCGCACCAGATGGTGACGAGGCCCCATGCTACCCACCTATCCTCGCAAAAACTCCCTCTGCAGACATGCACCTAGTTGACACAAAAGAGCTATTTTTGAAATGTGGTTTAGAAGTGTTTTATATCTGGCTGACTTTGCTTTGAATTATTCTTTCATTGACCAAACAGCTGTTCCAGGATATTGCACAATGCATGGCAGTTATTAATAAGAGCTATAGTCTAAGCTTCCAGTCTCTGCATCACCCACACACTGGAGGCAGGCCTTGAGCCTAAGTGCTCTTGAACCAGTGGTTGCTTGATGTTTATATTAAATACTGGGCTGGAGAGAAGGATCCTTCCAGTAGTGTTTTTTCAGGCATGTGACATTTAGAATTAAGACCTGCCTAGAGAAGAAGCTACTTAGTTGTAAAGAAGCAAAAACTTGGCAAGATTCTTAAAATTCATAATTTACATGTAAAATTCTATAGTTATGTTACTATAAGTAACAGTAACAGTAAACTCCTGAGAGCAGTAGGTAACTCTAGACCATCTCTTTTTAGTTTGTTTGGATCCCTGTAAGACAGTTCTTGCTTTTTTTTTTTTGAAACAAAGTCTCACTTTGTCGCCCTTGGTAGAGTGCCATGGTGTCATAGCTCATAGCAACCTCTAACTCTTGGGCTTAAGCAATCCTCTTGCCACAGCCTCCCAAGTAGCTGGGATTACTGCAACAACGCCTGACTATTTTTAGAGATGGGGTCTTGCTTTGGCTCAGGCTGGTCTTGAACCTGTAAGCTCAGGCAATCCACCCACCTTGGCCTCACAAGTGCTGGGAATACAGGTATGAGCCACAGTGCTCAGCCTTTTCTTGTTTTTGAAGTAAACAAAAGCAAGTGTCAGGCTAGGCTGGTCCAATCCCACTTCCCAGGCTACTGCTGGAGTCACGCTAGCTCCTGCCTCCATAGATTACAGAAAATGGACACTCATTCCCACAAGCTCTGATCAGGTTCCCTGAACTGTGTCAGATGTTTCTAGGTAAGACTGAGTGCTCTGTAGTGGACAGGCATGGGATGAAAATGACCCAAGAGTTGGAACAACCATCATCATAAGCCATATGCTAACTCTATTTTCTTTATAGCCCCCACACTGAATAATGCCTAAATGAATAAGTATAGGGATGGAAGGAAGAAGGAAAGCGGGTTTATTTGGTGCAGATGATTCAGCATTTTGGTTTCCCAGACCTCCTTTTCCCCTCTTATGGCCCTAAGCTGTCTCACTGTTGATGGGCAACTTTAGTTGAGAAAGGGCAAAAATAGGCATGATATACAGTGGCCAAATACTGGTTGGTTCTCTTTGTTAGCCTGCTTTTGTAAGGGCTTTATGGAACGGGTGGCCATCCTGGTGGAAACGGAGTGAGGCTAGTTTTGGGTGCCAGAAACTGCTCTCTTCACTCAGCTGTGCTCCAAGAAGCTTCAGCTGTGCTGGCTTGTCAGGCCCTCTAGGAACTCAGGAGCTCATCTAGTGTTCTCACTTGGCAACGCTTCCTCAGCACCCTATACATCTCCAGAACTTGGTCTTGGGCACCCTCCTGCTCTCCCCGTTTGACTTGCCTTGGTTTTTTCACTGTCTGTTGTGTCCAAATGCCAGCTGTTCATTTGTGGCTGCCCTCTCATTGCTAGAACCACTCCATTCTCACTGCTAATGGAGGCCCAGATCCCCAGCGAGGCTCTGGACCTTGCCGAGCCCCTCCTGGTTCTCCCTGCATTCTCGCCTACACTCCATGCTTTGCCTTAAACTCTGCTGATGCCAGCTCCTACTGCCACCTATAGTCTTAACTCTGACTGGGACTGTCACCTCCTCTTCTCTCAGTAATAAAAAGCTGCTATGAAGCAATGATCCCTAAGCCTCTATGAAATTACTGTAGTCTATCAGGTTCCTTGTCTCCCTTCCTGACTGGTTAAGTCTCTTAAAAGTAGAGACAGCCATATGTGCCTTTATTTCTCAATAAAGTTTTGATGTTACCAAAAAAAGGACCTCTCAAGAATGGTTGCATTTCACAGCTCATCTCTCAAGTTCTACTCTAAGTTACTAAAGCCTCCACCACCCAGAATCTAATAAAGTAGAACCATCAAGGTTACAAACCAATGAATTCCTAAGAAATTAAAACTACATAATAAGGGGCAGTATGGGATACAGGGGAAAGGTGTGCAATGTGAAGTCACACAGACCTGGGGGTGAATTCTGGCTCTCACAGCCAGGTCTTCAGCAAACCAGTTAACATCTCTGAGCCCCGGTTTGTATACCAGCCTCCTCAGAGAATTGTTGTAAAGATGAGAAATAATGATTGTAGACAAAGCACTGGGTATATAGTAAGCCCTCAAGAATAACTATTAAGCTCAGTGCCTGTGGCTCAAGTGGCTAAGGCGCCAGCCACATACACCTAAGGTGGCAGGTTCAAATCCAGCCTGGGCCTGTCAAACAACAATGACGGCTGCAACCAAAAAATAGCCAGGCGTTGTGGCGGGCACCTGTGGTCCCAGCTACTTGGGAGGCTGAGGCAGGAGACTCATTTGAGCCCAGGAGTTGGAGGTTGCTGTGAGCTGTGATGCCATGGCACTCTACCCAGGGGGACAGCTTGAGGCTCTGTCTCACAAAAAAAGAAAGAAAGAAACTATCATTCTTGCTACTGAACCCAGAAAACTTGGATACCACTCTCAGGTTTAACACTTATTAGCTGTGTGATTTTAAACAAATCACTTAATATTTTTCAGCGTTAGTTTTCTCCTTTGTAAAATGGGCAGAAAAATACTATCATATCTTATGGGTTGTCAAGAAATTCAAATAATAGGCTGGGCATGGTGGCTCATACCTGTAATCCTAGCACTTTGGAAGGCCAAGGCAGGTGGATTGCTAGAGCTCACGTGTACAAGACCAGCCTGAGAAAAAGCAAGACCCTGTCTCTTCTAAAAATAGAAAAACTGAGGCAAAAGGATTGCTTGAGCCCAAGAGTTGGAGGTTGCTGTGAGCTATCATGCGACGGCACTCTGCCCTGGGCAACAGCTTCACACTCTGTCTCAAAAAAAAAAAAAAAAAAAGAAAGAAAAGAAATTTAAATAACATAAGGTATGTGAAAAATTATTTTGTAAACCTTTGAATACCATATAGGCGTTAATGATTACGATCATGGTGCTAGAAAATTAAATATGGAAGATATTAAAATATCTGTCCTATGGCACATGACTTAAAACAAAACAGAACACAATAAAACCCTAACAGGTGATAAAAGTAATCTATAAGATATTTTTGGCTAATAGGTTGTTTTTATGCTGATGCACACTACAGAGCTTATAAATAGGATAATTATCTCTTACATTACTTAAGTCAGTCTAATTACATAATTTATGAAGAATTTTTTCTAATCCTCCCTACTCTCAAGAAAACAGTAGTTTGGGCTTGGCACCTGTGCTTAGTGGTTAGGGCACCAACCACATACACTGAGGCTGGCGGGTTCGAGCCCAGCCCAGGCCTGCTAAACAAGGACAACTACAACAAAAAAAACGGCTAGGTGTTGTGGTGGGAGCCTGTAGTCCCAGCTACTTGGGAGGCTGAGGCAAGAAAATCACTTAAGCCCTAGAGTTGGAGGTTGCTGTGAGCTGTGTACTCTCCTGAGGGTGACAAAGTGAGACTCTGTCTCAAAACAACAACAACAACAACAAAAACAATAATAGTTTGAAATTATATATAATCAGACCTTCTAAAATTGCACCTCATCATCCCAATAGGAGGTATTGAAACACTTTTTTAAATCCCACAAATTAGTCTGACCTAAAAAGATTTTTAAAACTCTCAGGACAGCTGGGTGTGGTGGCTCACACCTGTAATCCTAGCACTCTGGGAGGCCGAGGCAGGTGGATTGCCTGAGCTCACAGGTTTGAGACTGGCCTGAGCCAGAGTGAGATCTTTTCTCTAAAAATAGCCAGGTATTGGCTCAGCACACGTGGCTCAAGCTGCTAAGGCACCGGCCACATACACCTGAGCTTGCAGGTTCGAATCCAGCCCAGGCCCGCCAAACAACGATGGCTCTAACCAAAAAATAGCTGGGCGTTGTGGCAGGCACCTGTAGTCCCAGCTACTTGGGAGGTGGAGGCAGGAGAATCATTTGAGCCCAGGAGTTGGAGGTTGCTGTGTGCTGTGACGCCACAGCACTCTATCCAGGATGACAGCATGAGGCTCTGTCTCAAAAAAAAAAAAAAGCCAGGCATTGTGGTGGGCACCGATAGTCGCAGCTACTTGGGAGGCTGAGGCAAGAGGATTGCTTGAGACCGAGAGTTTGAGGTTGCTGTGAGCTATGATGTCACAGCAGTTTACCAAAGGTAACAGAGTGAAACTCTGTCCAAAAAAAACAAACAACAAAAAAACACCTTCCCCCAGGGCAGCAGCTCTGGAGGGTGGAGGCAGTGGACCAAGGTGCGCTGTCCCCCTGGGCCTAGAGGCAGAGCCCCTGAGAGCCTTGCAAATGCCCTGAGAATACTATCCTTTCTAAGGTCACGTCTCCCTGTCTATGAAACCCCACTTATATGCATTCAGGAGAATAAAGGTCATTTAATATGCGGTACCTATTCTTCAGGGTTCCAGTTACATCACTCTACAGGGATCCCCTTGAAAGTGAGTGCAGATTTCCCCTGGACCTTCTCTGGGCACACACTAATGAATGCAGAACTTTCACTCTCCGGTAAGATTCACTCCAGGTTTGCTGGCAGATGAGCTTTTCTTCCATGAGCACAACTTTGCTTCCCGTATTAAAACACAAAGAAAATTGTTCCATTGATATAAAGCAATTTGGAGCAGCCTAGCCAGGGAATAAAAAAGTGGAAATTCTCATTGCATCATCTAATTGTATAGCACCCAGTCACAATAAACATTACCAGCTGGTTTTTGCTGGTTTTTTCTCCCTCCTATACACCTTTAGTCTACTTATTCCTATTAACGATGAATCAAGTCCTCTGAAAAGGTCGGGGGAAGTACATATTGAGAGTAGCATAAGCATTTGCAGAAAGAACAGTCTTTGTCTTAAGTGAAATTATAAGGCCATTAGATTGGCATAATGTAATAAAAGCAAGATACCACTTGAACAGGACCAAGAATCCTTATCTACTGAAATAAAATAAAAGATGTAGAACATTCCAGGTTAGGCTGAAGAAATAATGCTGCATTTTGATATAATAATTGTTTTCATGTAAAGAGACTTTTTTTTTTTTTTTGAGACAGAGTATCACTTTGTCACCCTGGGTAGAATGCTATGGCGCCTTAGCTCACAGCAACCTCCAACTCTTGGGCTTAAGTGATTCTCTTGCCTCAGTCTCCCAAGTAGCTGGGACTACAGGTGCGCACCATAATGCCTGGCTATTTTTTAGAGACAGGGTCTCATTCTTGCTCAGGCTGATCTCCATCTTGTGAGCTCAAGCAATCCACTTGCCACAGCCACCCATTAAGAGTTACTTTATGGCTCGGCGCCTGTGGCTCAAGCGGCTAAGGTGCCAGCCACATACACCTAAGGTGGCGGGTTCGAATCCCCAGCCCGGGCCTGCCAAACAACAAGGATGGCTGCAACCAAAAAATGGCCAGGCGTTGTGGCGGGCGCCTGTAGTCCCAGCTACTTGGGAGGCTGAGGCAGGAGACTGGCTTGAGCCCAGGAGTTGGAGGTTGCTGTGAGCGTGATGCCATAGCACTCTACCCAGGGGGATAGCTTGAGGCTCCGTCTCAAAAAAAAAAAAAGAGTTACTTTATAATGTAAAAATATATATTTTTAAAAACTTACAGTACTTCCACCATTTTGCTGGTTTGGGATGTTAACATCAGTCTCTCAGTATTGAAAGAGGCAATTAAACAAAACAAAAAAACAGGAACAGGACTTTGAATTTTCTCTATTCTATCCTTGCCCTTGTTATCAATAGTTTTTATCCCTAAAATAATTTTTTTTTTTGAGACAGTCTCAAGCTGTCCCCCCTGGGGTCAGAGTGCCGTGGCATCACAGCTCACAGCAACCTCCAACTCCTGGGCTCAAGAGAGTCTCCTACCTCAGCCTCCCAAGTAGCTGGGACCCCAGGAGCCCGCCACAATGCCCGGCTATTTTTTGGTTGCAGCCATCATTGTTGTTTGGTGGCCCAGGTTGGATTCAAACTCGCCACCTTAGGTGTATGTGGCTGGCGCCTTAGCCACTTGAGCCACAGGCGCCGGACCTCCCTAAAATGATTTAACTAAAAGACTGATGGAAAACCTTAGGAAATGTTTTCCTTGAGCGCAGAGAAACTCTTTAAGGCTGAGATTTAGCATGTGAAATAGTGGCAGAAAGAAGTACAGAAGACAGAAGGGAAAGGAGGGACCAATGGAAAAACCCTGGGGGCAAACTGGGAATGTAGACTGTCCTAAATTTTACACACACACGAATTTGGATGTTGGAAAGAAGTGCACAAAAACAAAAGCCACACACCTCAAATACAAACCAACCAATCAATCAGACAATTAATCATTAGATTTTAACATTAAATAAGTTACAAAAGGTAGATAGTATATGGCAACTTCCTAAATCCATTGATGCAGATGAATGAATTGTCTTTAAACTTAAGTTCCAGCTGCTATTCAGCTATGGAGGGATCATCTGCTCAAGAAAAACTGACATGAAGGGCCCTGCCAACTTGAAGTTGCTTGAGTACACTGGGCTGACTCAGCCTACGCCATGCTGGTACATGCTACTCCTGCTCTTTGCACACAGCATCCTTTTGGTTCCTTGTAGATTAGTAATTCTGTTCTCATGGCGGCTCACAAGGGAGCACGGATTGCTGCAGGCTCTGCCTTGTATCACATCCTGCTTTTCCAAAGAGATGCCAAGCTTGGGCCATCTTACGAAGTTTAACAAGATTGGGTTTAATCTATGGGAAGAAAAAGAATAACTTTAATTAGCAGTATGAAAATCCAAGCAGCATGCAAATATTTCTTTTTTGTTGTTGTTGCAGTTTGGCTAGGGCTGGGCTTGAACCTGCCACCCTTGGCATATGGGATCGGCACCCTACTCACTGAGCCATGGCGCTGCCTGCATACAAATATTTCTAAAGTATGGCTGTCCAGATCTGTTTAGATGTCTAATTTTTGGATTCAGAAAAGACTGTAGACTTTTTTTTCTTTATTAAATCACAGTTTTAGAATCAGAAGGACTAGATTCCCATCTCTCCAGCAATGGGGACACAGGTTTTCTTGGTTTTTGTTGGTCATGTGAAACAAAGAGTTTTTAATGGAGTAAAATCAACTGGAAGAGTCAGAAAACATTAGTATCTGAAAACTCCATTCAAGAAAACACCTTATGTCCATTAGCAGGAAAAGTAAGCAAAAGACTAGATTTTGGATTAGGCAAGGTGGCTCACACCTGTAATGCCAGTACTCTGGGAGACCAAAGTGGAAGGATTCCTTGAGCTCAGGAGTTCAAGACTAGCCTGATCAAAGTGAGACCCTGTCTCTACTAAAAGTAGAAAAATAAGCTGGGCATTGTGGTAGGCACTATAGTCCCAGCTACTCAGGAGGCTGAGGAAGGAGGATCACTTGAGCCCGGAGTTTGAGGTTGCTGTGAGCTAGGCTGAGGTCAGGGCATTCTAGCCTAGGCAACAGAGTGAGACTCGGTCTCAAAAAAAAAAAAATAGATTTTGGAAAGCAGCAACTTGGACATTCCTATTATGCTCTTCATGTTCTCTTTCATTTAAGATTATAACATGGACAGAAGATGTTCTTAATTTAAACCACTCTGTGCCTTTATTGCATTATCCACATCACTGTGGGCTGCTGAGTAATCAGGGCCAGAGAGTGATGTGGACATCTCCTAAGTTTGGTTCCTTGCCTGGTAATCCTTAAGTCTTGGAAAAGGCTAGCTATGGCCACAGGTCACCACTTCCAGCAGGCATTGTCAAGAAACTGGATGTTTAAGCTATGCTTTGCCAACAGTGAACTTGCTGTGAAGTACATCTCGCTGAACCTGGAGCTAGCAGGCAACACACTGTGTAGAACACATCAGTCTGTACATGTATTAAGCTTAAAAATGCAAGGCCATTATGTGGATAATCTGATGGCTCAGTCTAAGCTCCATTTTGAATTTGAGCTGAAAATAAATGGGTGAGGCTTCATAAGAAACTTCCAGTGTATATTTTTCAAAACTCCTGCTTTGGAAGGATTAAGACACATTACATTTGGATAACAGGAACTGGAAAAGAAAAAGATAAACTCTGCTCCCCTCCACTCCTGTTAGTTGCTAGTGTACCTGTTTTTCCTGCTCCAAGTGGTCTATGTCGGCTAGTGGCAGCATTGAGGGTCTCCCGTGGGCACACTGGAATGGCAGCTGGCACCAGGAAAGAGCGCTGATAAGATGACAGCTCTCCTCTCGGCTCAGGCCATCATTGAACTTAATGGCCCCTAAATGAAAGAAACAAGGTGACTGTGTACATGGTGGGAAACCAGCGCTGACCCTCATTCATAGCCAGAAATCTGGAAAAAGTAACATGTTTCTTAGGTTCTTTAATGTGGCTTTACACTGCTAGGAACTGGCACTTACAGTGCCAATGAAACTAAGGCCAGGACTGACCCTTCTGTCTCTCAGCTTTCCCTTATGGAATATTTGTCTTTTTAATTCCTACAGAAGGCATTCCTTAACTTGTTTGGATCTTGCTTTCAGGGTTTTTCTCAAAGAGACAAGAGCAATAATTTTACCTATTCCTTATGGGTCTGTGAAGTTGAGGGCATCTTTTGTAAAGGGATTGTCCAGGAGCAATCTCTGACTGTTTCCTTACAATATCCATTTTATTTGCTTCTTTTTTCCTAGTTTCCAAAATAATCTCCCTACTCTAAATTTTGTTGTTAGAACCTGCCTCTATGCACACATTAATTCATCCAGTCAACAATTACTTATTAAGTGTAGACGCTGTGTTAGGAGGGTTGCCAGGCAGCAAATGAGTCAGAAGCTCTCACAGGATGTCTAATAGGTGACACAAATGTGAAACAAGTAATTATACATAAATTTAAATTATAAACATAGTACTATGTAGCATAAAATATAAGACATGAATGTACTACAATAGAAAGGCCAAACTCAGTTTAGGAGGTCAAGGAAGGCTTTCCTGGCAAAATGATATTTAAGCTGAGAACCTAGGTTACGAAAGATACAGCAAACCAGAGAAGGAGCAGAAAGGAATTTCAGGTAGAGGAAAAGGCAACTAGAAAGGCCCTGCGGCTGACAGGCGTGTATTACACAGGAAGAACAAGATCAAAGAAACAGGCTGAAATGCAAAGTGTGAGGTGGAAAGTGATGTGAGATGACTTGGGAGAGGCAGGCAGAGGCCAAATCTTGAAGACATTTTTGGGCCATGGTAAAAAATATATATTTTTATCTTTAAAAGAATGGGTCATCCCCAAAACAAGCAGAGAAGGAAGCAAAGGAGTGGACAGAGAGTGGCCATTTTAGATGAGCTAGCCAGGGAAGGCCTCACAGAGAAAGGGATAGTGCAAGCAAACCACGGGGATATCTAGAGGAAGACTAGAGAAAGATTCTAAATCTCTGGCAGGGTAGAATCAGTCGGCGAAGTGGCCCTAAGCGTGCCAGCACAGACGGGTTATGGTGGCCATGAGAATGTGCCTGGCAGACCTTCAGCTGCAGGGAGCAGGACTGACCAAGGCTCTGGGTGCCAGGCTCTGAAATTCATCACCTACTTCGCACCAAGGCCACACTTCCCAGAAGCTGCTTCTAGCTGAAAGCCGAACACAGCAAGGACACCAAAGCAGGCCCCTTCCTAGGAGGTTTGCACTCCTCTGAAAGCCAGCTTTGTCCTGAAAACTCCACAACAGGATTTGCTGAGCCTTCTCCAGACTGCAGGGCTGCCTAGCAGCTCCTATCCACCCTGCCCTCTCTCTCTCAAAGTCAGATTTGCCTTGCTTTGTCTAGCCTACTTCAGCTCCCTCCCCATTTTCTCTCACATAGGTATTTCCCCTAATAAAATCCATGCTCTTTTTATCCTATCTTGTCATCTGCTTCTTAGAAGACCCAGATTAACATAGAGTAGAAAGGGAAAAAAGGAAAAAAAAAGAGAGAAAGAAAAAGAAATGATAAAATAGGTGTTGAGTTTCTAGTAGGCTCTGCTC